TTTGTTTGGGTGACCGGGGCTGAGACAATCAACTCGCTGCACTTGAGAATCCAGTTTCATCACCACAACCCAGCCTTTGCCAGTCTGTGGGTCTCTGTGTCAGTCTATGCGGTCTCCGTGCGAGTCTATGGGTCGCTCTGTGAGTCTACTGGGCATTTACGTGAGTCGCTGGTGACCGGGCGGACACCATCAACTCACTGCAGTGAAGAACCCGCTGGGTCGGGTTTAACCTCGGGTGGCCGGAGCGGGACCCCCGTCAAAGGTGGATCTCAGTGGTGCCGGCTTGGCCTCTCTGACTCTCTGTGTGAGCCCCCCACCCCACCCCGACCCCACCGAGCCACCAAGCTCCGTGACAAACAAAGCTGCCGAGTCGCTCGGACTTGAGTCTGACGATCCCCTCGGCTGGCCGGTCACTCAGAGAGAGAGAGAGCGAGCGAGAACACCTTCAGGAGCGGTGCCCACTGTCGACTTAACGTCAGCGGTCATTACGGTGCGTGACAAAAAAAAAATGTTTATGGGTAGTGTTATTTTCTAATTGCGTATGCCTGAAAAGTCTAGAAAATGGCTATTATTATTCCCCACGAAACTTTCCTTTTGTGACCAGGCCACAAAAGCAAAGTTAATAATCCACTCCATTAATAATACTGCGTAACCGATTTATTTATTTTTTGTTCCTGGATAGTGTTATTTCCTAATTGCTTATGCCTCAAAAGTATAGAAAATGGCTATTAAACCCCACAAACTTTGCTTTTGTGACCAGGACAGTGATATTTTGAAATGTACCTCTTTTCAATGAGAAAACGCGGTGTGCATTTGTGTTATTACCTTCACGCAAAGGCCTGGTCACAAAATAAAAGTTTGTGGGGAATAAACAGCCTTTTTTGTATACTTTGGAGGCATGAGCAATTAGAAAAAAAACACACTTACTACCCAGGAACAAAAATCGTGTTACATCGTGAATTTACTATATATATAATCGCATTCATTTTTGCCCACGATAACCTCACCGCGTCTCTGTAGTAGAAGACGATGCCGGGGTCATTCCCCAGAAGGGCCCTAAGATGCGATGGCACCCACCCCTGCCCCCCCCCTCCTGCCCAATCACCCTCCCCCCTGCCCCCCCTCCTGCCCCATCACTCTCCCCCCTGCCCCCCCCTCCTGCCCCATCACTCTCCCCCCCTGCCCCCCCCTCCTGCCCCATCACTCTCCCCCCTGCCCCCCCCCTCCTGCCCCATCACTCTCCCCCCCTGCCCCCCCTGCCCCCCCCTCCTGCCCCATCACTCTCCCCCCCTGCCCCCCCTGCCCCCCCCTCCTGCCCCATCACTCTCCCCCCCTGCCCCCCTCCCCCCCCCCTGCCCCCCCCTCCTGCCCATCACTCTCCCCCCCTGCCCCCCCTGCCCCCCCCCGCCCCGTGATGGCAATCGGGGCCGATGTATTTACAGGAGCTGCCGACAGCGAACACGCTTAGCCGTTGGTGCTGTTTGTCGCTGGCCGCGTTGGGGTTTTTGGGCCTTCGCTTTAGCAACTGTTACAGAACAACAACAACAAAACACCCAGACAACGTTGCGATCGATGATCTTTGAACCATTGGTGGTTCCTAAATCAGAAGGGGGGGCGGGTGATGGGGCAGCAGGAGGGGGGGGGTGGTGAGGGAGGGGGTCATGGCTTTGCTGTGCTCCACCGCCCTCTGGGACCCGACCTCCCCAAACAAGTCATCAGCAACGGCGCAGTCACAATCGAAATCAAACACCAACACAAACTTCCCGAGAAGAAGCATCTCCAGATTTTCTCACAGCCGGGGAGGGGGGAGCGTGAGCAGGAGCCGGGGCCCGACGTTTAATTTCACGAGGCCTCGTGCTTGGAAACGCCCCTCCCCCCTCCCCCGCTCACCCAAGCGTTGTCAGACGAAATAAAATATGTCAGCGGAGTGCCGCGATGTTTTAAAGCTGGAAACCAGCGACGCAGTGACACACAAGCGGCTCGGGGTATCTCCCTGTGTGTCTGTGTGTGGTTATATCAGAATGTCACAACCGGAATATTTATTTACCCTGGAGGAATCCGATGAGCTATGAAGCTCTTTTTCACAGACGTCCAGTAATCGCCCAGCAAGGTGCACCTAGCCTGGCACAACAAGCGCTAGCGGTGACCGTCACCGCCACGCGAACTGCTGGACACGTGTGAAAAAGACCTTCACAGCTGATCGGATTCCTCCTCCAGCCTAAATAGAGATTTCCGATTCTAACTGTATTGGCTGTTGATGCTGTTTTCCCAGCACAAGGGGCCACTGAGAGTCCGACCGGGCGCTGGGTGGTTTTCATAAAACCACGAGAATTTGGTTGGGGGAAGATTTAAAAAAAACAACTCAACCAGGCAATGAGGCGCCGCAACGCGATGTGAAGAACAGCGCCGCACGCGGACCCTGCCCCAGGCGCTGCTGCGTGCAAGCTCTGTGGCCCGATAGCTTCCCGTGTCACGATAGGTGGGGGGGGGGGGTCGTTGGGAGGGTAGGCGGTGGAGGAGAGGAAGGGGCCGGTGGGGGGCTGGGCACGCGTCAAGTGCGACAGGTGACGTGCATTAGGGCACCGTCGAGGTTCGCGACGCGCCGAGGAGCGAGCGAGGTCACTCCGAGCGAGGTCACTCCGAGCGAGGTCACTCCGACGCCAGGCGCCCGCTCGCAACACGGGCGGGCGGCGGTGCAACGGAGGGGAGCGACTGACGGGGCTGCCTGCCTACAGGGTGTGCCGCACGCACGCCACGCCACGCGATGCTGCTGCTGCTGCTCCTGCTGCTCCTGCTGCTCCTGCTGCTGGGATTGCCACCGATCTCTCGGTGCTGAAGACTTTGGGCAGATTGTGCCCACGCGCCCCGACCCTTCAAAGCGTTCCCTTGAAAAACGTCATTCAGCCGATCCTGAACGCTGAGCTACTTTCGCGGCCACACGTTACGATTCGTGATTTTTTTTGTTTGGGGGAGGGTGGTGGTGGGGGGGGCTGGCTAAAGGTGGGGGATTAGGCTCGCGCAACGTTACGATCCGGGTCGGATTTGTGCCGTTTGAGAACTTTCCGCCACCCGACGCGGGCAAATGAAAGTTGTCACGCGGCGTGAGAGCATTGAGACAGCGTGGCGACTGCTATCGCTTTAATTCGTTCTCCCATCCACTCGCCCACCCGCTCGCCCGCTCACCCGTTAACACACTCGCTCACACTCGGCTCACCAACTCGCTCACTCGGCTCACACACTCACTCGGCTCGCCCGCTCATTCACCCGCTCGCTCACTCACTCACTCACCCGCTTGCTCACTCACTCACACTCACCCACTATCTTACTGGCACCTACTCACCCACGCGCTCACACACTCATCCATTCACTCACCCACCCACCCACTCACCCACGCGCTCACCCACTCATCCACTCACCCACCCACTCACCCACGCGCTCACCCACTCATCCACTCACTCATCCACCCACTCGCCACTCGCTCCCCCACTCATCCACTCACTCACCCACTCGCCGACGCACCCACCCACGCGCTCACTCACTCGCTCGCTGACAGTGGGTGAGTTGGAGAGCGATCCTCACAGCCGAATTCGGAATGATTTTTTTATTCCGCCCGACGCAGTTTCAAGCGAAACGTCAAGAATCTCAGATCTGATTGCTGCTCAATCCGGCTGCGAGTCGCTCTCTAGCTACCTACAGTGATTAAGTGGTTGGGTGAGTGGGTGGGTGGGTGAGTGGTTGGGTAAGTGGGTGAGCCAGTGAGCGGATGGGTAAGTGGGTGAGCGAATGGGTGGGCGAGTAGTTGGGTGGATAAGCAAGTAGGTGGGTGAGTGAGTGGGTAAGTGGGTGAGTCGGTGGGTCAGTGGATGGGTGAGTGGATGAGTGGGTTAGTAGGTGAGTGGATTGGTGAGTGGGTGGGTAGGTGGCTAAGAGGATGAGTGAGTGCGTAAATGGGTCAGTAGGTGAGTGGGTGAGTGGATTGGTGAGTGGGTGGGCGAGTCGACCCGAAACAATAACAGTCGGTACGTCACCGTTACTAGACACCAGTGCACCGCGTGACAATTTAATTGGTTTGTCCGCGTCGGGTGGTGGAGAGATCTACGGGGACACAAATGAGGTCAGATCACACCCGTGTGGCCTAACCCCGAACTCAACGACGAGTCAAGACCCCTCGTCTCGAGATGCGTCTTCACCCGTACGGTCTCTTCAAGATTGATGGCAATCGCCTGCGCGATGGAATGACGGAAGAGGCCGCCCCGTAACCCGCCCGCCGCTGTACACCCGTCCTGAAGACACCGTGCCCCCGTGTAATTCTCCGCCGTGCGTTGCCATTACCCGTGTTTGTCTTTATCCCGCACGTCCCTTTCCCTGTAAATCTATTCCTCAAATATCTGTACACAACTCCGTGACCTCTGCAGCTCATTCAAAACACGTCTGTCTGTACAAGCCCTGCGTGATTCTGTACAACGCCGCACGTTCCGCTCAGCCGTGCGTGCGTGCCTCTACCCCGCTACGTCTGTAGCTAACCGATTTTCCCCTCCATAAATAAAAAGATTCCGATTCCGATTCTTGAAAGATTCGCCGTATTGGCGCGCATCGCGTTCGGGAGGAGCGGTGCCCAGGTTCGACTCCCGACTCGGGTTCTCCGGTTTCCACTCGTAACTCAACAAAAAAGACAACCGCCTCCCCCATATGTACAAAGTAACTAGCATTGGCTTTAAATGTCCCAACGCCGCAGGAGTTAGCCGCGCACGTACTCCATTGGGACCACGCGTGGACACATGGGTCTCCGAACCGCACGCTGAACGAGCACAACAGTAATAATACGGAGTTGGGAGCAACGTTTCAATTCCTCGCACCAAGGCCCACCAACGCCAGCCGCCAGGGCCGTCCATGGGGGTGGTGTGCGGGGCCCGGCGCTAAACCCCCACCGTGTGGGCCTCCGTCCGCCCCCCGTTTTTACCCCCCGCCCCTGCCGACGCCTTCAAACTAAACCGGAAATATCACATCTGGCAGCGCGACGTCGAGGCGCGGGAGGGGGGGAAGCCCCCCACAGTGCGGGGCCCGGGGCGACCGCCCCCCGAGTGGCCGTTACCCCCAGGCGACGGCTCCGCACACCGCACCGCGCCGCTGCCACCACCGCCGTCCACCGTCTCCCGATTGCACGTCCTCCTCTCGTACCCCGCGCCATCGACCCCGGAGGAGCACATCCTCTGCGCGTTTATCGTGCAGTCTTTGGCGGCCCAGACGACCGGCCCCACGTGCACGCACGGTAGGGGGGCGCGGCCGGTGCACCTGCCGGCCACCTCGGTCGGTCAACCCACGGCACCACCTGGGTCTGTCCCGTGTCATCCTGCCACCGAGCCTTCGACACTTCACGTGGCCTCGGAGTGCACCTGGCCTGCCACGGCCGCCGTGGTTGTCGTGACCGCCACTTAGTGCCGAATGGCGGCTGATGTTGTTGTTGTTGTTGTGTGGTGCACCGCTTACGACGGATACGCACGCACGCACGCACGCGCGCGCGTTGACTTACGACAAAGGAGCGGGGCAGAGTGGAAGGGCAGCGTAGGGGTAAGGTTACGTGGCAATTAATGTGCAAGTCAGCCGTTGCAGAGACCTCTAGCGCCGCGGCGCCCGCACACACCGTTGCGTGTATATCTGCACACAATTTTTCAGTCCCTCCCGTACCCTCCTCCTTCCCTCCCTCCCTCAGCCAGGGGGAGCACACACTCTGTGGTGTCACACCTCCTGCGTAAGGGACACAACAAACACAATAAATTCATGAAAACACGATACACATTAACAAATCGCAACGGCACCACCGTCTCCCACCACCACCCCCTCCCCCCCGCCCCGTACGGCCACGCAGACAAGAACATCCCCCATTCCTCCCGGCCGCCTTTGTCTCCCCAGTGCTGATGCTTTCCACACCGTGCCAGGCGCTACTCATTCAGGGCCGAGTCGGTTTAGCGGACGGCCAAACGCTTCGCGTTGGCAACGGTCGGGAACGGGACCCGGCGGACCCGGGGCCGGTGGGATCGTGGCGCGGTGCGGCCAATCGCCACGCCACCACTCGCACTCAAGTAGAAAGATTCACCCCCCCCCCCCCCCCGTGTGTGTGTGCACGCGTTGAACTTCCTTCGCACCGTACGTAGCCAACCGTGCTCATCGGAGGCGCGGGGGAAGGAGAGCTAGCGAGAGCCCATGAAGGCCGACGTGGTCGGCACCACGCCGAAGCCGCCTTTGTCTCCCCCCCGTGCATGATGTTTACACGGCACAGCAGGACCTCATTCAGGGCTGAGTCGACCCGAGAGCAGGACGACTAGATCGCGCCCAAGGCTGAAATGTGTCCGTCCGCAGCTCTGCGTGCGACTTCGCCTACGTACATGTTTCCTGTGTACGTTTAAATAATTACGAATCATTACGTTTGGATACTATTCTACACTCCAATGTTGGAGGACCGCCCCCCCCCCCCCCCGGCTTGTTTGACCATACTTCACCACGCTGGTCAGTGTGGGTTCGTGAAGGGGTGGGGGGGGGGGTACACCCAGAACTAGTTGAGATATCGCCACTGATGTTAGCCGTGGGCTGGGTGTAAAACTCGCTGAGTTCGGAAGAGCAAGTGAGCTCACCACTGCGCCACCACTCCCTCCCCCCTACATGTACCTACACACACATACACGCGAAAGCACACACACCCTGTATGTAATATGCAATAGGTACTTATGAACATATACACACAGACACACAAAAACAAAGATTCCCCGTATAGCCTACAACAGGCTGTTTGGGCAAGTGCTGTTAGCGAGCACCTATGAAGGCCAACATGGCACACGAGGGGGTGGGTGGCCAGCACCACGCCCGGCCGCCTTTGTCTCCCCAGTGGCGATGTTTACTACACACCGCACCAGGCTGAGTCGACCTAGGGGAGGCCCAGGACCGGTTCAGATAATCGTCACCGGTGTTTGCCATGAGCGGAAATCTAACTCGGGTCACCAGGTTCGTAGCACAGCGCGCTAACCGCTGCACCGCCGCTCCCACACTCACTGCACAGGTGCACACACGTGCTAGTATACACATATGCTCCACTGATTAATAAATACAATTGTTTACCCGGAGAAAGCCAGGACCCTGGAGACTGTAGCCGAGAGGTGGCCGATGCGTGCGAGACACTGGGCGCGGACTTCACGTTGAGGATAAAAGTAAAATTCCGAGCATTGAGGGGGCCGCAAGAGCTGAGAAGCCAGGAGTAAACGTTATGGGTAGCCACAGGGCTGGGCTCTGATTGGCTACGATGGTACGTCCACAAACAACGTGTCCAAAGCTTAATTTTTGAAAGCGATTCATCCGAGCAAACTTTCACAACGCGAAATTGAGACCCCCGTTTCATTAAACGTCGGCCCTGTGTATTTTCATGGCGTCTTCGAACACAACGGCGTTTTTGCCCCGATTTCGACTCGCTCGCCCGGGCTCCTGACATCCAATCGGTTGTTGCCGCTGTTGTCGCCGTTGCCGCTGCTGCTGCTGCTGCTGCACCCACCCTGTGTCGGGCACAAGCATCTCTGGTAGGTGACCAAAGCCCTTTTGCCGTTGGGGGGGCAACTACGTTTTGGGAACGGCGCTCGTTGCACTCCCTCGACATTCTCGAAAATGTTCCCTCTCGAACAAAAAAAACACACGCGTCGCCGAAGCGGAAGATCGGCAGTGCCGGCAACGGCCGGTCACATTCGCAACCGCGATTCGTGACTGCGGTCGTGACCCTGTGTGCGGTGTCGGTAGTGCAGTGTCAATGCGCCAGCTTGTTGAGGGACTACCGATGCACGGGTGCTCTCTTGGTGTGATCCGGGACTGTTTTGTTGTGGCTGCCTTGCCCAATCATGATCGATCGGACTCGGATAATCCACTTAGTTAAATTTAGTGATTAGCTTACCGTCGTTCATGTTTTGCACTCCCGATCGCGGTTTTTGTACCGTTTGCCGTTGTGATTTTGCTGACCCCGTGGAAAAAAAAAGCTTCACAGCTCTTCGGATTTCCTTCTCCAGTCGAAATAAATAATTATGATTCTGAACGGATGTTGATAACTCGGGAAACAAAAGAAATGAGAGGAGGGAGATGATAACAATGCAGGAACCACTTCCGAAGCTGAATTCCACAATGCTCTGCAAAAGGAGTGTTTGTGTTCCGTTATCACTAAATAAAATAAACGTTTACTACTCACGGCTGCAGATTGGCCGGGTCGAGTAAATTAATTAAATCTCTCCACCATGGGCGCCACGGTGGCTAGGAGATATCAATTGACCTGAAGGTTGCTGTGCAGTCCCTGATGGCCATGCCAAGACAATCAACACGCCAGCGCTTGCAGATGCAACGTACCCACGTGTGACAGCGCTTGGGATCCGGATCCAGGCCATCAACGGCGCCTAGCTTCACGCTCGAACCTCCAGACCACCCGGCAGTACAAAGATTCCCCGTATAGCCTTCACGGACTATTGGGGAAAGTGCTATTAGCGAGCAACAACAGTGCCTACGAAGGCCGGCACGGCACACGAGGGGGTGGGTGGCCAGCACGACGCCTTTGTCTCCCCAGTGGCGACGTTTACACACCGCATCAGGTACTCATTTGAGGCCGAGTCGACCTAGGGGAGGCCCGGGAGCGGTTCAGATAATCGTCACTGGTGTTGGCCGTGAGCGGGAATCGAACCCAGGACGCCAGGTTCGTAGCGCAGCGTAGCGCTAACCGCTGCACTACCACTCCCCACACGCGCACGCACCCACGCGCACGCACACACACACACTCACGGCAACCTCCCCTCTCCTGCAGCAAAGGGTACCCCGGGCAAAATCCCGGCGAGCCAACGATCCTAGCCAGCGCCAGTACGTACGCCGAACTTCTTTCGCACCGTGCGTAGCCGACCGTGCTCACCGCAAACCCTGCCACCGAGTCGGCCCGCAACGGCAACCGCGACCTCCTCCTTTGGGGCCAATCATCCCCCCCCCCCCACCCCCCCCACCCCCCCCCACCCCCCCCCACCCCCCCACCCCCCCACCGTGCCCCCGCCCCGGATCCCCCAACGCGACCGACGCGTCACCGCGCGTCGCGCTGCTGCAGCTGCTGCTGCCGCCGCAGGATGGACTGCAGGGCGGCCTTCGCGGGCCTCAGCATCTGCTCCTTGTGCACGCGCAGCAGCAGGGCGGCCCGGTCCTTGGTCTTGGGCCGGTGCGTGGCCACGAGGTGCACCCCGACGGCGTCGCGGGCGCACGACTCGAAGTCGCAGCGCGGGCACCGGAAGAGGCGCACGAAGCGGCGGTCGCGGGAGAAGTGCGTCCTGGCGTGGCGCCACAGCGCCGCCGGCGCCCGGAAGCGCTGCGAGCACAAGCCGCAGCGCAGGCGCGCGTCGTCGCACACGGCGCGCACGTACGCCAGACCCTCCGCGGGCGACACGGCGGCCGCGGCGGCGGCCGCGGCCGCCGCCGCGGCGGCGGCGTCGGGGGCGGCGACCGACGACGACGCCGCCGGCTTGGGGGGCTTCGCCGGCGGCTTGGGCAGCAACTTGGGCGCCTTGGGCGCAGCTGGCGAGGGCGACTCGGCGGCCCGTTTCCGCCCGCCCACGCGACCCACGCCGCCAAGTTGCCCGGCGTCCCTCCGCGTGCGAGTGTCGCTTCCCCGGGCGTCGGCGGGCGGCGGCGGCGGCGGCGGCGGCGGCGGCGGTTTACGAGTCGCCTTCTTGGCCGTCGTCGCGGCCGGAGCATTTTTACCGCACCGGCTCTTTTTGAGCGGCGCCTCCTTCACCCCGACAACGGCGTTGCCGGCACCAGGGCCGGCGGCAGTGGCGCCGGCAGCGGCGGTGGTGCCGGGTTGCTGCGTGGCCGGGTGCATGGTATCCATGTGCCGCGTGATGTGGCTAGACCTCGAGAAGGATTTGTCGCACACGGGGCAAACGTTGTTGGAGCGCCGACCCTCCCCACCGCCGCCGCCGCCGCCGCCGCCTTCGGTGCGCTCACTCGCTTCGCCGACCCCGCGGAGTTTCCTTACCCTGCCCACGGCTCTGCCAGGAGATTTGTCGAGACCGGGATCGGCGGCACGCGCTTCCGGCTCGCCCGGCGCTTTGCCGGGAGGCTCGCGTTTCCGCTCGGTGTCTCCCGCCGCAGCCGCCGCCGCCGCCGCCGCTTTACTCCTCCTCACCTTGTGGACCTTCTTCAGGTGCTTCTTGACTCCGCGGTGGTCAAAGAACGCCTTGCAGCACAGGGGACAGAACTTGTTCTTGTGAGCCTTGGGCGCACGCCGGCTCCCGCCCTGCGCCCGCCCCGCGTCGCCGCCGGCCGGCCCGTCGCCTTGCGGCGTCGCCGCCAGCACCGATGTCGCCGACGACCCAACCTCCCCCGGCTCGGCCACCGCCGAGTTCCCCCTCCCTCCTCCGCCGTCGCCGTCGCCGCCGTCGCCGCCGTCTCCGCCGTCGTCGTCGAGGGCCGTCCCTTCCCGGCCGCCGGCCGAGTCGACGAACCCGGCGTCGGCCCTCGGCGCGGAGAGCCGCCGGGACGACCCCGGGGCCCCGCCGGGCGGCGGGTCGGGCGACGGCGGCGCACCAAGCGAGGAGTAGAGCCCCGACGCGAAGGCCTCCTCCGCGCCGGGGCGGCCGTGGCCACCGGCGGCGGCTCCCCGCGGCCGCGAGCCGGACACGGGCGACGCGGTGCCGTCGCCGGGCCCGTCTCCGCGCTCGCCGCGGTCGCCCTCCAGGAGGCGCTCCAGGAGCTCGGCGCCGGAGCCGAACGTCCGGTCGCGGGAGGGCGGATGATCGCGGTGGCCCTCGGCGGCGGGCGACGACGGGGACGCGGGCGCCGCGCCGACGCCGGCCGAGTCGGCGTCCGGACGCCCGGCGCGCAGCAGCCCGAGGTGAACCCGGGCCGTGTGCAGGCGCAGGCCGATCTTGGAGGTGAACGTGCCCTTGCAGAACGTGCAGCGGGAGAGTTTGCGGTTCTTACGCGGGTCGCTCCCTGCCGCCGCCGCCGCTCGGCTGGGTCGTCACGGTCGCGGCGCCGGCAGAGGCGCCGCCGGCAAAGGGGGCGCCGGCGGCGGTCTGCGCCGCGTTGCCCCGCTCGCTCCGGTCCTGCTCTCCGACAGGCAAAGGGCAAAGGTCACCCGTGTAGGCCTTAAGCGGGCTGGTGGGGCGAGGGTCCGCGCGCACCGCACCAGGAACGCACCGCAGCGGTATCAGGCCCGGCTACGGTACCGTTAAACTTTGAGGCCGCGTGTAGAAAGTAGTGATCCCCGTATACACAGCGTACAAAGTGCTCATTTGAGACGAAGTTGACCCAAGGGGAGGCCCAGGAACCGTTCAGATAATCGTCGGCGGCATTGGCTGTGGGCGGGATTTCGAACTCGGGTCGCCGGTTTTTCGTAGCGCATTTCTTTCCTTTGACAACAGCTTCATGAAATCCGCCCTTTTGTGTTTCGTTTGATTCCCTGCACCCCCGATTGGCACGGTTGGCTATGTACGGTGCGAAAAAAGTTCAACACACATACATACGTAGCATAGCACACTCACGACTGCACTACCGCACACACACGTGCACAAACACAAAGATCCCCTTTATAGCCTTAACATAGTGTTGGGGCAAGTGCTGTCAGCGAGCACCTATGAAGGCCGGCACTGCACGAGCGTCGTGTGCTGCCTCCTATAACGCCGTTTCCTTATCACGCTCTTTGTCCTGGAGGAAAATTCGCGCGTGGATCAGGCCACACCGCATCTCCGGTGGAACCATGTTATCATGACCTCCGAAAGCGCCGTTTCGTACGGCGCTCCGTTTACGAATGACGCATCCCTCGCGCTACAGGAGGTATGCCTGTACTAAGACCCTGGATCTCAACTCTGGCCTGGGTGTCCCTCTCTCTCCTTCAGGGGAATCGCAGCGGTTACATCAGAGACGCCAAAACTAAACTATTTTTTTTTATTTAAAGCTTTTGTGACTGCAGTAATTCATAGTCTTAGTTTTTTCGGTAAAGTCACGTTGAAGGGAAACAACTAAATAATAAAATATATATAAAACAATAAAAAATTCTCACGACGTTTCGACCATAACTCAAACGGTCGTCTTCAGGTGTGTTGGTTTGCATAAATTATGCAACGTGACTTTACCGAAAAAACTACGAATATTTTTTTTTATTTGACCAGGTAAGGGGCCCACTGAGCGACCCGGCCACAATTTACAGTTCAACAAAGTGGCTTATTATCACGTGGAAATTTATAGTCCAAGCGACCAGCACCGGGGGAGAGAGAGACGCAAACTCCAAATACGTAACAGGTGGCATCAGGGTCGGGATCGAACCCACGACCTCCTGCATACCAGGCGAGGGAGACAACATCTTGCCACGGACCGCCCCGGTTCACCCACCGCGCCGGAATCTCTCCCGCCGGCCAGGGCGGCGGCGGGCGGCCGCGGCACGGGCTGCCCGTCCTGCGAAGGGCCCCGGCGTGCCGAGGCGCCGGCGCTGCTCACGTGCTGGAAGACGGCGTGGGGGTTGCCGCCGATGGCCTGCAGACGCAGCACGTAGCCTGGCGCCCCGCGGGCGTCGCCGTCGCCGCCCTCGCCGACGTCATCTCGCGGCGCCATCGCGTCCAGCAGGTCCCGAGTGACGCGCGTGTGGCCTGGCTCGTCGCCATGGCCCAGCTCGTCTGCGTAACACGCACACACACACACACACGAGACGCACACACACACACACACACGAGACGCACACACACACACACACGAGACGCACACACACACACACACGAGACGCACACACACACACACGAGACGCACACACACACATACACACACACACACACACGAGACGCACACACACACATACACACACACACACACGAGATGCACACACACACACACGAGACGCACACACACACATACACACACACACACACGAGATGCACACACACACACACGAGACGCACACACACACACATACACACACACACACACACGAGACGCACACACACACACACACGAGACGCACACACACACAAGACGCACACACACACGAGACGCACACACACACACACACGAGACACACACACGCACACACACACACACACGAGACGCGCACACACACACACGAGACGCACACACGCACACACACACACACACGAGACGCACACACACACACACGAGACGCGCACACACACACACACACGAGACGCACACACACACGCACACACACACACACACACGAGACACACACACACACGTGCACACACACACACACGAGACGCACAGACACACACACGAGACACACACACACGAGAAGCACGTGCACACACACACACACACGAGACGCCCACACACGAGACGCCCACACACACGATCATGTCAGTCGAGTGCTCGTCCAGTTGCATTGGCTTCCGGTGGCCGAACGAATACGTTATATATTAACAACCCTAGTCTCATGGTCCACCCTAAACCGCATCCACTGCACAAACCATGGCAGATGGGGATACTTGATGCACAAATTAAAAACTCTCTAGTAGTGTGCGACTGTGGTCATCCAGACCAGACCGTACAACGTATAACAATGCAATGCCCGATCTATAAATACGAAGGAGACATCGCAGCGATACACTCCGCTACCGCTCCCGATGCGGTTATCTGCCTAGACCACCTGGAAGTAAAAATTGTAGTTGTTGCTCTGCATCCACATCCGCCGCACGGAAGAAGAAAGATTAATCACAATCATAGCGCGAACCACAGTCACCCCAGCAGCAGCAGCAGCGGCTTTTTGGCTAGCCAGCAGATGCGCTTCTGCGGCCGTTTGGAACGCTCTTCCTTCCGATATTAGGGAGCAACTGGAGTTACGCACTTTAAAGCCTACAGATTGAACACTCATTTCGGCCAGCCTCTGTCTCCCCCAGTGCTGATGCTCAAACGCGGCACCGGGCACTTGGTTGGGCGGGTGGCCAGGCAGTTGGGCGGTAGGGTGGGTGGGTGGGTATTTGAGCGGGCAGGTGGGTAGTTGGGTGGGTAGGCGAGTAGTTGGGTGGGTAGTTGGGAGGGTAGTTGGGCGGGTTGGCGGGAGGGTGGACGGGTAGTTGGGCGGGTAGTTGGGTGGGTGGGCGGGCGGGCGGGCGGGATGGCAGGGTGGGCGGGGAGACCGAACCTTGGCTGCCGGGCAGCGCGGTGCGGCAGTAGTGCTCACGGTGCGTCACCAGGTTCGGCAGCCCCCGGAAGAGGCCCCGGCACAGACGGCACTCGAAGATCGTGTCCACCTCCCGCAGCAGGAGATTCCTCAGCTCCCGGGTGCCTATCGGTCGGGAGGGAGGAAGGGGAGGGAGGGAGGAAGAGGAGAAGGGAGGGAGGGAGGAAGAGGAGAAGGGAGGAAGGGGAGGAAGGGGAGGGAGGGAGAGGAGGGAGGGAGGGAGGAAGAGGAGGGAGGGGAGGGAGGGAGAGGAGGGAGGGAGGGAATTCCATGTGGAACAAGGGGGAGAGGATAAATAAACTCCAATCATATAACTCACACTGTAGAACAGTGGGAGAACACACAAACTCCACGCAACAATGCGGCCGGGTTCAGGAATTGAACCCAGGTCCGTCCTTGCAGCTGGGCATGAGCGTTACCACAGCGCCACCACCCTGCCACCCACTGCCCCCCCCGCCACCCCTGTACGATAGCCATGGCGTAAGGAGGCCCTCATCCAGCGGTGGGTTGACACAAGAGCGGTACGCGTTACACAGCTTCCAGTGGCTGAACGAACACATTACAGGGGAGTGCTCATTACGCACAAAGTGCTTGCCACAAACGAACCGCAACACCTCGCCGATCTCGCCAAGGAGCAATAAACCATCATCACGCGAACTCCGCTGGTCATCCTCGCAGCGGCGGCCTTTAGCTCGCCGTCGAAAGATAAGACAGGTCACCGCATCGCGCACTTTCAGATTCGCTCCTGCAGCCACCTGGAACGTTCTTCCTGCTCGAGATTACGGCGCTGCTGGAGCTGTGCACTTTTAAAGCATCCCCGATTGAAGACGAATTTCTTTAGAATTGCTTTTTATGTTTGGTTTGTTGTCCTTCTGCGAAAGAAAGTCAACATACGTATGGGTTGATCTCCTATAACGCGTGGTGTTTTCATAACGCGAGTTGCATGTAACCCGATGAATGTATTAGGGAATACATTTTTGATGCGAATTGGTAATAACGCGATCGAGCAAACAGAACTACGTCGCCCGAGTAGTAATAAGCGGGTTGTACGGCTGCCTCAGCATAGCATCGCACAAGGCATTGGGGATGCTGCTGGATGCCTCTAGATACAACTCATGCGCCTCAGTCTTTGCTCAGCCTGCGTACGCATCTTGCGTGATATCGCAGACTGTGCTGTACCCTATATTGTATATTATTTAAATGCAATTTTTCCATAAACGCGGTGTTCTACCACGTTAAGTGAGAACATACCGTACGTACATAACACGTTACATGTTCAGAATCATAATATGTATTTATACAGGAGGAATCCGATGAGCTATGAAGCTCTTTTTCACAGACCTCGCCCTGTGTGTTACCACGGAGGGGCAGAGGCTGCGAGAGCGTTTTGCCTGTTGCGCTGGCCGTACCGGAGCGGAAGCATTCGATGATCTGCTGGATGCCAGCCTTGGAGGTGGAAACTTGTCTCTGCAGGAGCGGCGGGTCTCCAAGCTCCGTGCTGTGGCCTGCGAGCAACAACGAGGCATGCGTCGTGAAGATTCAGCAACGTGCAGACTCGCGTAGAGCCCCACAGACTCACGTAGAGACCCACAGACTCACGTAGAGACCCACAGACTCGCGTAGGGACCCACAGACTCACGTAGAGACCCACAGACTCACGTAGAGACCCACAGACTCACGTAGAGACCCACGGACTCACGTAGAGACCCACAGACTCACGTAGGGACCCACGGACTCACGTAGAGACCCACAGACTCACGTAGGGACCCACAGACTCACGTAGGGACCCACAGACTCACGTAGAGACCCACAGACTCACGTAGAGACCCACAGACTCACACAGAGACCCACAGACTCACGTAGAGACCCACAGACTCACGTAGAGACCCACAGACTCACGTAGAGACCCACAGACTCATGTAGAGACCCACAGACTCACATAGAGACCCACAGACTCACGTAGGGACCCACGGACTCACGTAGGGACCCACAGACTCACGTAGAGACCCACAGACTCACGTAGGGACCCACGGACTCACGTAGAGACCCACAGACTCACGTAGGGACCCACGGACTCACGTAGGGACCCACGGACTCACGTAGAGACCCACAGACTCACGTAGGGACCCACAGACTCACATAGAGACCCATAAACTCACATAGAGACCCACAGACTCACGTAGAGACCCACGGACTCATACAGAGACCCACAGACTCACGTAGAGACCCACAGACTCACGTAGGGACCCACAGACTCACGTAGAGACCCACAGACTCACGTAGGGACCCACAGACTCACGTAGAGACCCACAGACTCACGTAGGGACCCACAGGCTCACGTAGAGACCCACAGACTCACGTAGAGACCCACAGACTCACGTAGGGACTCACGGACTCACGTAGAGACCCACAGACTCACGTAGAGACCTACAGACTCACGTAGGGACTCACGGACTCACGTAGAGACCCACAGACTCACGTAGAGACCCACAGACTCACGAAGAGACCCACGGACTCACGTAGAGACCCACAGACTCACGTAGAGACCCACAGACTCACGTAGAGACCCACAGACTCACGTAGGGACCCACAGACTCACGTAGAGAACCACAGACTCACGTAGGGACCCACAAACTCACGTAGAGACCCACAGACTCACGTAGGGACCCACAGACTCACGTAGAGACCCATAGACTCACGTAGAGACCCACAGACTCACGTAGGGACCCACAGACTCACGTAGGGACCCACAGACTCACGTAGGGACCCACAGACTCACGTAGGGACCCACAGACTCACGTAGAGACCCACAGACTCACGTAGAGACCCACAGACTCACGTAGACACCCACAGACTCATGTAGAGACCCACAGACTCACGTAGAGACCCACAGACTCACATAGAGACCCACAGACTCACGTAGAGACCCACAGACTCACGTAGAGACCCACAGACTCACGTAGAGACCCACAGACTCACGTAGAGACCCACAGACTCACGTAGAGACCCACAGACTCACGTAGAGACCCACAGACTCGCGTAGAGACCCACGGACTCACGTAGAGACCCACAGACTCACGTAGAGACCCACAGACTCACGTAGAGACCCACAGACTCGCGTAGAGACCCACGGACTCACGTAGAGACCCACAGACTCACGTAGAGACCCACAGACTCACGTAGAGACCCACAGACTCACGTAGAGACCCACAGACTCACGTAGAGACCCACAGACTCACGTAGAGACCCAGACTCACGAAGAGACCCACGGACTCACGTAGAGACCCACAGACTCACGTAGAGACCCACAGACTCACAGAGACCCACAGACTCACGTAGAGACCCACAGACTCACGTAGAGACCCACAGACTCACGTAGAGACCCACACTCGCGCAGAGACCCACAGACTCACGTAGTGACCCACAGACTCACGTAGAGACCCACAGACTCACGTAGGGACCCACAGACTCACAGAGACCCACAGACTCACATAGAGCCCCACAGACTCACGTAGAGACCCACAGACTCACGTAGAGACCCACAGACTCGCGTAGAGACCCACGGACTCACGTAGAAACCCACAGAGTCGCGTAGGGACCCACAGACTCACGTAGAGACCCACAGACTCACGTAGAGACCCACAGACTCACGTAGAGACCCACAGACTCACATAGTGACCCACAGACTCACGTAGAGACCCACAGACTCACGTAGAGACCCACAGACTCACGTAGAGACCCACGGACTCACATAGAGGCCCACAGACTCACGTAGAGACCCACGGACTCACGTAGAGACCCACAGACTCACATAGAGACCCACAGACTCACGTAGAGACCCACAGACTCACGTAGAGACCCACAGACTCGCGTAGAGACCCACGGACTCAAGTAGAGACCCACAGAGTCGCGTAGGGACCCACGGACTCACGTAGAGACCCACAGACTCACGTAGAGACCCACAGACTCACATAGAGACCCACGGACTCACGTAGGGACCCACAGACTCACGTAGAGACCCACAGACTCACGTAGAGACCCACAGACTCACGTAGAGACCCACGGACTCACGTAGAGACCCACAGACTCACGTAGAGACCCACAGACTCACGTAGAGACTATGGTTGTTAATATATAGAGCGAGGCCACATGGGGAGGTCGCCGCCTCCCTTCCCGTGCTGCTTTCGTAGCGGATGTCGGGCCGAGCTGGCGATGAGAAATCGATGCCCAGGTTGTGAATCGAGCGACTGGCTTTGTAGCGGCTAGGACATTCGCAGTGGGCACAGAGAGACCCAGAGACTCGCACAGAGAAACCCAGAGACTGACACAAAGACCTATATGCTCACACAGAGACCCATAGACTCACACAAAGACCCATCTACTCACACAGAGACACATAAAAATCACACAGAGACCCATAGACTGACACAGAGAACCATAGATTCACACACACCCATGTGCATGCGTGCGTACCCAGGCAGCAGACATGGTCACACTGCGCAGTCTGAGTGCCTTTCTCCACGGTCTCACTCGGGCTGCTCGGAGTCTTCACGACTCTTTTCTTCATCATCCTAAGGGTTGGGGGAAGTGCGAGACAATTGGCGATCACCGATGTCACCGCGCGGAGCGCCAAGCCACACACACACACACCAAAAAAACAAAAACAAAGGCCCCCCGTATAGCCTTAACAGACTGTAGGGGCAAGTGCTGTTAACGAGCACCTGTGAAGGGACGGAACAGCACACGAGGGGGTGGGTGGCCAGCATCGCGCTTGGCCGCCTTTGTCTCCCCAGTGGCGATGTTTACACACCGCACCAGGTACTCATTTGAGGCTTAGTCGACCTAGGGGAGGCCCAGGACCGGTTCAGATAATCGTCACTGATTTTGACAGTGAGCGGAAATGGAACTTGGGTAGCCGGATTCGTAGCGCAGCGTAGCGCTAACAGCTACACTCCCGCTCCCCAGGATAGTCCCTTTTGCAATGGTCACCTGGTCTACCAAAATGACAAAAGCTAAATAAATCAATAATAGCAATGAGGCAAAAGAAAATCAGAGCAAAAACAACTTAACCACATGACAAAAATTGCGCTTACATAAATCAATTTTAAATATTACAGTCCCTGTAGTATAAGTTGGCTCGGACAGAGATTATTTTTAGGTCGACCAAATAAAGTTAACAAACATGAACAGATATTGCAAGTGAAGCTTTGATAAAGTGCTGTATGACAGGATTTAACTGAACGCCATTCCTCGCGACAAATCACTGTACAATTTAAAATATAGTTTTGCGTTAAGCTACATCATCATTTGGCCAAATTTGTGTCACAAGACCCTCCACCACCTGACACAGCTGAGAGAAATGAATTGCCACGCGGTGCACAAGCTGTTGATGACCCGCCAATTATTACTATCTTTCTCAGATCGCTTGCCCACTCGCTCACCACTGGTGAGTTGGATAGCGACTTTTACAGCCAGATTCTACAAGACTCACCGACTCACCCGCTCACACACCAACTGACTCACCCATTCACCATGGCTAAGTAAGAGAGTGCCTCTCACAGCCAGATTCAGCAGCACTCAGGCACTTGCTCACTCACTTACTCACCCACTCACTCACTCACCGTGGGGGGAGTTGGATAGGAAATCTCAAAGCCATACTCAGCAGCACGCACTCGCCCACTCATCCGCTAACACACCAACTGGCTTACCCACTCACTGCGAGTGAGTTAGAGAGTGACTCTCACAGCCAAGACAAAGATCCCCGTAACAGACTGCTGTGGCAAGTGCTCTTAGCGAGTAGCACCTATGTATGGCGAACTTCTTTAGCACCGTACGTAGCCAACCGCGCCAATCGGAAGTGCGGGGGAAGGACAACAAACTAAGCACAAAAAGCAGTTCTATGAAGGCTGGCACGGATGGGTGGCCAGCACCACGCCCAGCCGCCTTTGTCTCCTTAGTGGCGAAGATTACACACCGCGACAGGTACTCATTTGAGGGCGAGTCGACCTAGGGGAGGCCCAGGACCGGTTCAGATAATCGCTACTGGGTGTTGGCCATGAGCGGGAATTTAACTGGGGTCGCCGGGTTCATAGGTCGCTGCACCGCCGCTCCCCACAGAGGTATCGGCGCTCACTCACTTTCTCAGGTACCTCGCTCACCCGCCTGCTCACCCGCCTGCTCACCCGCCTGCTCACCCGCCTGCTCACCCGCCTGCTCACCTGCCTGCTCACCCACTCGCCGCGGGCGAGTTCAAGAGAGCGACTCCCACGGCAAGATGTATTAGTTACATTTGAGATTCGTGAGACTTCGCTTGGGACCGTCTCACGCATCGTCCGTACTTCCTGAAAACGCCTGCCGTGGTGTCAAGATAAAAAAAACCTATCTCGCGGCAACGGATCCCTGTGCGTGGACCACAATGCATCGGCAGCCCACTGAGCTCCTTAGCTCTTTTTCAGAAGCGACCTGGCCACAAATGATAGTTCAATGTTAGTGGCTTATCACGTGGAACTTCATAGCAGGCAAATACTCTCTGTACAGCAGGCGTTATTGTCAAACACCACGACCTCCTGTATACCAGGCGAGGTATTTAACATCTCGCGACTGTGGCACCCTATTAAACCAGCCATCGAGGCATCCGTGCTCACCTCCTGTTTACAGCCCTGCAGAGCCAGTGGTGGAAATTCCACATTGCTACGGCAGGGGCCGAATCTCTCCATAGCACAACCACTGTTGACCTCCCCGCAACGTGGTGCTGGTATCATCGACCCCCCACGAGTTGACCTCGCGACCTTCCGCTTGCGACCGCCGCGCCCTTTCGGTGGCGAGATGTTAACAACCTCGCCTGGTATGCAGGAGGTCGTGGGTTTGATCCCGACCCTGACGACGCCTGCAAATTTGGAGTTTGCGTGTCTCTCTCTCTCCCCGTGGTCGTGTGGTCCTCCGGTTTTTACCCCCATATGTAGAATCAACATGCATTTCGAGTATTTGGCTGTTATACATTTCCACATGATGTTAAGCCACTTCGTTGAGCTATCATTTGTGATGGCCAGATATATAGCTCACTTATATATATACACTTATATAATATATACTTGGCTCTTTGCAGAACTCATGGGTACTGGTTGGCTCTTGGTCTGTTATGGGTTGGCCACCCATTAATATAGAGGTCATGAAGCCATTCGATAGCCTCTTTGGAGACTTGACAGATGACGTGATATTGCTCACGATATCCGTGGCACAGGGTGAAGTGTGGAATCATGTGACCCGTGGTCTGTGAATCGGTGGTGCAGGGTGCCGTGTGAGGTCACCTGATCCATGGTCTGGCTCTGGTATGTATGTTTAACTTCTTTCGCACCGTACGTAGCCAACCGTGCTACGTACCGTACCAGTCACATTGCCGACTGCTCTTTATTATTCACCGATTAAAGGAGGTGGCTGCATCTGCCATGCCCTGTTCTGCAGAGATTTAGGGCTGGCCACCGTTTCCTGGGTTAGGGGTCGAATCCCCGGAGAGTTCTTGTGTGGGGTCGCTAACAGAAAGTGATAGAACTGGTTTAGTGAGAGACTTTTCTCGTGTACACATTCATCATCATCGGCCATGGTCAATCCACTGCTGGATGAAAGCGTCCTCTAAGCCAGTGCCATCTCTCGCAATCCTGCGGTGCAATCCCAACCTGGGGTCCCCTGTCACAGAGTTAAACTATGAACTACACTAAAACTATAAAACTATTTTTTATTTCACCAGGTAAGGCCCACTGAGCTATGTGGCTCTTTTTCAGAAGCGACCTGGCCACAAATGATAGCCCAACGAAGTGGCTTATCACGTGGGAATTTATAGCACACAAATACTCTAAACGCGTGTTAATTCAAAACGTGGAGGGAAAAACCGGAGGACCCGGAAAATAAATCCACGCGACTACGAGAAGAGAGAGAGAGAGAACACGCAAACTCCGAATCTTCTTCTTTCCTGCGGCTACTAATGGTGATGCAGAGCAACAACTAAAATTTAACATTCAGGTGGTCAAGTCGGACAACCGCATCAGGTGCAGCGGAGTGTATCACAACTCCAAATATATGGCAGGCGTCAGGGTCGGGATCGAACCCGTGGCCTCCTGTGCACCATGCGGGGTAGTTAACATCTCGGTGGCCGTCCTCGCTGACAAAGCGTTGGGAGAACTGCAAGCACAATTTGCTCGAGTAGCCATCGGGGGGGGGGAGCTACAATGCAGTCACGATATCACAGAACGTGGAAGGAAGGTAACGTGTGAAACGTGTAAAGAATGATGTTGCACAAGTGGCGCATTCCTAACAATACCTGCGTTTCGCAAACACACACACGCTGGCAGCGCGCGTGGTGCGGGCGGTATGAACGTATGCGTGTCCGTAAGTGTCTACTACTGTATGTGGGGAGCGATCGTGTGAAGGTTCACGCTACGAATCTGGCGACCCAAGGTCGATTCAGACTCACGGCCAACAGCGGTGACGATGATCTGAACCGGTCCTGGGCCTCCCCAAAAAAAGGTCGATACAGCCTCAAGCGAGTGCGTGGTGCGGTGTGTGAACATCGTCGCCACTGGGGAGACAAAGGCGGCCGGGCGTGGTGCTGGCCACCCACCCCCCTTCGCGTGCCGTGCCGGCCTTCATAGGCGCTCGCTAACAGCACTTGCCCCAAGAGTCCGTGCAGGCTATACGGGGGATCTTTGTCTACTGTGTGTGTAAATGTGTTACACCAGTTAATCTGCCGAAGTTCGCAAGAATGTCATCTCTTGGGCATTTAAATGCCCTCCGTTGGGCGGTGCGAAGGGATTTAAATCTGTGTATGGACGTTGAACGTCGACTTTCACCACCAGTGCTATTCGTGATAAAGGTGTTCCGAGCCCGTGTTCGTACGTGAATGTTCACAATGTTTAATTTAGCGTCTAGAAGATATATGGCAACGGTGTGATGCGCAGCCTCACAAAGTCTTGTTATCCGATCTCCTTTCTGTGTGCTATGAAGAAGGGCCATTGCCCGAAACGTCGCCTATCATACGTTTCCTTTTAAGGCCTCACAGACACACACACACCCACACAAGTATTGTTACTGGCAAATATGTGGTTTTAGTAACTGCAGAGTAACTATGTTATATTTTTTTTAGCTAAACACGTGAAAGTGTCAAACTTTAAGCGGTTAGCACTCCGCAGCGCTCCGAAGCCGGCGACCCGAGTTCGATTCCCGCTCACGGCCAACACCGGTGGCGAATATCTGAACCGGTCGCGGGCCTCCCCTAGGTCGACTCGACCTCAAATGAGTGATCTGGTGCGTTGTGTAGTAAACATCGCCACTGGGGAGACAAAGGCGGCCGGGCGTGGTGCCGGCCACCCACCCCACCAGGTGTGCCGTGCCGGGGGATCTGTATCTTTGTTAATGTGCATGTAGGTTTGTACAGCATATCTGTTCGCGTGTACTTAATTTAATGGTTTTTTACTAAATTGCGCGTTCATGTGTAAAAAAAACCACGGTACACTGCAGGTGTATTCACCTGCCCGGGATTAATCTACATCGCGTGCTACCCGTCCGTGGGGCTTGTACGATACGTCTGAATGTTCCACGTGTAAAATGTTTCAATGTACAGGGGGGGTGGGTGCCTTGACCGATTACAACGTCAACGCGTGTACCTACATGCGCCTAGTAAGGTGTTCACCTACGGCGTTGACGAGCAGCGTTCGCTCGCTGTTACGCGTGAACACGCACGAACGCGCGTGAACACGCACGAACGCGCACGAACGCGTGAACAAGGCCCCAGCCACCAACATTATAAATCCTTCTCGCACGGAAAGCAATTTGGCACATCAACGAACGGCAAGCGCGTGAACGCGACAGTTAACAATCGTTCATCGGTGTGAAAAAAAAAATAATGATGATAATAATACACAAACGTACTAAACAACGGCGACAGTAAATCGGTTGGGGGTTTTTGTTTTTGTAAAAAGAAAAAGCCAACTGAAATCTCGCGATCTTAATGAACATTTAAAGGAGTACGCGTGTTGAGTCGACCTCGCGAGTTGTCTCACCGTGCGGCCTAGGGCAGGCTCTCGCCGCTGTTTCCTGAACAGCCGCTGCCGCCTCGCAGCCTCGACACCCCGCGGCCTCTTCTCTCTCTCTTACCACCCTCGCTGTTTGTTGGTGGTGGTGGTCGTCGTCGTCGTTATCTGTTGTTGTTGTTGTAGTTAGTGTCTGTTGTTGTTGTCTGTCGGCGCGCGTGTGTGTGTGTGTTCGCCGATGTTTATTGTTCGCCGTATTCGCAGGAGCGAGCGAGGGTGGTGGTGGTGGCGGCGTTTCTGCGCACGAGACGAGGGCGGCAGCGATCGCCGCTCGCTGCTACTGCTGCTGCCGCCTTATGCGCAACGCCACACACACACACAACAACAACAACACCGACACAACTACAACAACAACACGTGTTGTGTTGTTCCCAACCGAACTGTGTTCTGGAACGGGTTATGTTGTTCCGAACTGGCACGACCGTAATTGCGTTCGGAACGAATTTTGTTTGAAGTTGACTGCGTTCCGGACAAGCCGTGTTAGGAGCTGTGCGTGTTCGGAACGGATTGTGTTCGGAACGGATTGTGTTCGGAGCTGTGTGTGTTCGGAACGGATTGTGTTCGGAACGGATTGTGTTAGGAACGAATTGTGTTCGGAGCTGTGTGTGTTCGGAACGGATTGTGTTAGGAACGAATTGTGTTAGGAACGAATTGTGTTAGGAAAAGATTGTGTTCGGAACGGATTGTGTTAGGAGCTGTGCGTGTTCGGAACGGATTGTGTTCGGAACGGATTGTGTTCGGAGCTGTGTGCGTTCGGAACGGATTGTGTTAGGAACGGATTGTGTTCGGAACGGATTGTGTTAAGAACGGATTGTGTTCGGAACGGATTGTGTTAGGAGCTGTGTGTGTTCGGAATGGATTGTGTTCGGAACGGATTGTGTTCGGAGCTGTGTGTGTTCGGAACGGATTGTGTTAGGAACGAATTGTGTTCGGAGCTGTGTGCGGAATGGATTGTGTTCAGGACGGATTGTGTTAGGAACGGATTGTGTTCGGAACGGGTTGTGTTAGGAGCTGTGTGTGTTCGGAACGGATTGTGTTAGGAACGGATTGTGTTAGGAGCTGTGTGTGTTCGGAGCTGTGTGTGTTCGGAACGGATTGTGTTAGGAACGGATTGTGTTAGGAACGGATTGTGTTCGGAACGGATTGTGTTTGGAGCTGATTGTGTTCCGAACTACAGTGCTGTAATTGTGTTTGGAACAAATTGAACTGGTTGTATGAGGAGCTGGTTGTATGAGAAACTGTTTGTGTGAGGAACTGATTGTGTGAGGAACTGGTTGTGTGGGGAACAGATTGTGTGATGAACAAATTGTGTAAGGAACTGTTTGTATGAGGAGCTGGTTGTATGAGGAACTGTTTGTATGAGGAACCGTTTGTGTGAGGAACTGGTTGTGTGAGGAACTGGTTGTGTGAGGAACTGTTTGTGTGAGGAACTGTTTGTGTGAGGAACTGGTTGTGTGAGGAACTGTTTGTGTAAGGAACTGGTTGTGTGAGGAACTGGTTGTATGAGGAACTGTTTGTGTAAGGAACTGGTTGTGTGAGGAACTGGTTGTATGAGGAACTGTTTGTGTGAAGAACTGTTTGGATGATGAACTGGTTGTATGAGGAGCTGGTTGTGTGAGGAACTGGTTGTGTGAGGAACTGGTTGTGTGAGGAACTGGTTGTGTGAGGAACTGTTTGTGTGAGGAACTGATTGTGTGAGGAACAGATTGTGTGATTAACTGGTTGTATGAGGAACTGGTTGTGTGAGGAACTGGTTGTGTGAGGAACAGATTGTGTGTGGAACAGATTGTGTGATTAACTGGTTGTATGAGGAACTGATTGTGTTAACAACTGCTTGTATGAGGAACTGATTGTATTAGGAACTGGTTGTGTTAGGAACTGGTTGTGTGAAGAACTGGTTGTGTGAGGAACTGGTTGTATGAGGAACTGCTTGTATGAGGAACTGATTGTGTTAGGAACTGGTTGTGTGAGGAACAGATTGTGGTAGAAACTGTTTGTGTTAGGAACTGGTTGTCTTAGGAACTGGTTGTGTTAGGAACTGGTTGTGTGAGGAACTGATTGTGGTAGGAATTGGTTGTATTAGGAACTGGTTTTGTTCGGAGCTGGTTGTGTGAGGAACTGATTGTGTGAGGAACTGTTTGTGTGAGGAACTGTTTGTGTGAGGAACTGTTTGCGTGAGGAACTGTTTGCGTGAGGAACTGGTTGTGTGAGGAACTGGTTGTTTGAGGAACTGGTTGTGTGAGGAACTGTTTGTGTGAGGAACTGTTTGCGTGAGGAACTGTTTGTGTGAGGAACTGGTTGTGTGAGGAACTGTTTGCGTGAGGAACTGTTTGTGTGAGGAACTGTTTGTGTGAGGAACTGTTTGTGTGAGGAATTGTTTGTGTGAGGAACTGGTTGTGTGAGGAACTGTTTGTGTGAGGAACTGGTTGTATGAGGAACTGTTTGTGTAAGGAACTGGTTGTGTGAGGAACTGTTTGTGTGAGGAACTGTTTGTGTGAGGAACTGTTTGTATGAGGAACTGGTTGTATGAGGAGCTGGTTGTGTGAGGAACTGGTTGTGTGAGGAACTGTTTGTATGAGGAACTGGTTGTATGAGGAGCTGGTTGTGTGAGGAACTGGTTGTGTGAGGAACTGTTTGTATGAGGAGCTGGTTGTGTGAGGAACTGGTTGTGTGAGGAACAGATTGTGTGAGGAACTGTTTGTGTGATTAACTGGTTGTATGAGGAACTGATTGTGTTAACAACTGCTTGTATGAGGAACTGATTGTATTAGGAACTGGTTGTGTTAGGAACTGATTGTGTAAAGAACAGATTGTGGTAGGAACTGATTGTGTGAAGAACAGATTGTGTTAGGAACTGATTGTGTGAAGAACAGATTGTATGAGGAACTGATTGTGTGAAGAACAGATTGTGTTAGGAACTGATTGTGTGAAGAACAGATTGTATGAGGAACTGATTGTGTGAAGAACAGATTGTGTTAGGAACTGATTGTGTGAAGAACAGATTGTATGAGGAACTGATTGTGTGAAGAACAGATTGTTTTAGGAACTGATTGTGTGAAGAACAGATTGTGTTAGGAACTGATTGTGTGAAGAACAGATTGTATGAGGAACTGATTGTGTGAAGAACAGATTGTGTTAGGAATTGATTGTGTGAAGAACAGATTGTATGAGGAACTGATTGTGTGAAGAACAGATTGTGTTAGGAACTGATTGTGTGAAGAACAGATTGTGTTAGGAACTGATTCTGTCAGGAACTGATTGTGTTCCAAGCGGTAGTGCAATGGTTAGCGCGCTGCATTCGAGTTCGATTCCCGCTCGCAGCAAAGCACCAGTGACGATTATCTGAACCGGTCTTGAGCCTCCTCTAGGTCGACTCAGCCACGTGATCCTGTAAAGTGTCGTTTCCAACCCTTAAGAAGGGCAAATGCGTGAAACGTCACGCGCGTATGTTCCTATTGACGCAGTGTTACTGACTGATGTGTTGAATCTTGTGCTCAGAACATTGGTGTTGAGAATTGTGTTGCATGTGTTGGGAATGCCCTGTGCTCGGAACTACTGTTCAATGCTACGTTCTCAATCTTGAGTCCCATGAGATCGCTTGTTCACAATACAAAGACGGCAGTCACCGCACCGCGCACTTTCAGATACGCTGCTTCTGCGGCCGTCTGGAACGCTCTCCCTTCCGATAGCGGGAAGCCACTGGAGCTGTGCACTTTTAAATAATCATCTAGATTGACAAACTCATCTCTTTAAAACTGATTTTTGTGTGTGTTTAGGTTGTTGCCCTTCACCCACACCTCCGATCAGCACGGTTGGCTACGTACGGTGCGAAAGGAGTTCAGCATACAAACACAGCACCTCCTCCTTTGCCCCATGTGTTTAAAACTTTTTCTTTTTTCACCAGGTAATGCCCACTGAGCTACGTAGCTCTTCTTCAGGAAGCGACCTGGCCACAAATGATAGCTCAACGAAGTAGCTTATCACATGCAAATTGAAAGCAGCAACATCGTTTAAAGCCGCTGGTTCCATCTGCTGACTCCCACCAAGCCCGCTTCATTCAAATCGCCCCTTAAGACGCAACTCGCTTCTAAGGGCTTTGTTATATTCCTTAATTCCTTTGTTATGGAGTGGGATGTGATTGGGGTTAGCCTGCGTGCGTGGGCGCTGCGTGTTTTGTACAGAGCCTTGTGACCTCCGGATGAAAGGGGCTTTAGAAGTGTAAATAAAGATTGTTAATAATATATACAAATTATATATGAAAACAATATTTGACGTCTGGCACAACCGTCCTTATTCGAGGCCGTTAACGTTCACCTTCCAGTGGCGGGCTTCTCCCCATCAATTTCAGATCTGACTACAGGAGTCTGTGTGCGCGCGTCTGTGTATGCGCGCGCGTGTGTCTGTGCGCGTGTACACGCGTGTGTCTGTGTACAAACGGACGCGGCACGGGCTAGAGAAGAGATGGAGTGATGTGGTACAGGAGGACGTGGAGCTGAGTGGACTTGCCGATGACTGGTACCAGCGGTGTCAAGATCGGCCTCTGTGGAGGAGGCTCGTGAAGGACGCTGCTACTGGGCAATTGGAGGCAGTCGCCCTCCAGCAACAACGGATGGCGGAGGAGCGACGCTCACAACAACGAGCGGAGCGCCGGGCGGATAAAGCACAGCAAGTTGGCACAGTAGGGGGTACAGGTGATGCATCGGCCACTCGTCTCAGTCGGTCGACCCGTGACACCTGCTGGGTCTGCCCCGTGACCTCCTTCCAGCGGGCTGTTCAACACCTCACGTGGCCTCAACGTGCACCTAGCCTGGCACAAGCGCTGTGGTGACGTCGCCGCCACTTAGTGGCGAATGGCGGTTGTTGTTGTTGTTGCACAAACTTAACTGAGCATTACTGAGTTGCTGGTGCTGTATTTAGTAAACATCGCCACTCGGGAGACAAAGGCGGCCGGGCCTGGTGTTGGTCACGCATCTCCTCGTGTGCCACAGTGCTGGCCATCACAGGTGCTGCTACTCGCTATCAGCTCTTGCCCCAAGGGTCTGCGAATAATATTCGGGGGGGGGGGGGGTCTTTGTCTCGTCTAAAATCAGGAAAGTTACGAAATGGTGACCTTTTTGCCAGTAGCAAAGCATGAAACGATAAGAATATGTTTGACCCTTTCTGACAATGAAACAGGAGGCGTTTGAAACGTTTCGTACTCAGGGAAGTTATTGGAAGCGGACTTGGATCAGGCAGCAGAGTGCAGTGCCTTTTTTTGATGACACGTTTCAAGTATACTTTGTTCTTCCGTGTGTAAACCAGGTGAATTTGATGGCGGGATGTCTGGAATTGATGTGGTGTAGGAAAAGGTTCAAAGCTGGGAGGCCATGTGGCCAAATGACGAAAGTGTCATCCACATATCTCTTCCACAGGGGATGTCTCAGGGTGGAAGTCTGGATGGCGTCTGATTCAAATTTCTCCATGAAAACATTGGCTATCACTGGTGATAAGGGAGAACCCATGGGGGTACCCTCATTTTGTTTGTAGAAGGTGCCATTCCAAGTAAAGTATGTATTGGTGAGGCAGTGTCTAACCAGCGCAGGTGTATCGGGGTCTAGTCCATGTACCAAATTTTCAATTATTTCAATGGTATCAGGTACCGGGACCTTGGTGAACACGGAGACCACATCGAAGCTGACAAGCATATTGTCAGGGGACAGTACAACGTCTTTGACCATAGAGAGCAATTGGG